AAATGCCTAATTGATATGTTTATCCTAGAGTAAGTATGGTATTGTATGTTATTGTATAAATGTTTTTGTATGTTTTGGATCCAGGTTGTTTTTTGGAGAAATGCACTTTAGCTTTCCCCCTACAAAACAACTTATAAAGAGGGGAGGTGTTACATACAGCACTGATGTTACCTGTCTGTCATGGGTTGGAGGGAAAGTTCCATCCTATGGGGAGTGGAAGGCGGGACATCAGGAGGAGGGGCTGTACTGTATATATATATATGTGTTGTGTGGAGAAGGAGGAGAGCTGAAGGAGAGCTGAGAGAAGAAGCTGGAGTGGGAGTCTGTGTGTCAGACAGGGTACTACTGTGTGTCAGTCAGTACCAACCTGATAGGTTCTTCAGGTGTCTTTATGGGTAACCAGAACTGATAGGTTCAGGGTCTGTGCTTTATTTAAAGGTGTTCTGTGTGAACCAAACTGGTGTATGTATGATTGAGACTAAGCCACGTTACTGTATCTTATTCACTTGATCATTTTATTTTCCCTGTGTGTTATTTAAATAAACCTTATTCCTTTGTTTGTTAAAAAATCCATTCCTGGTCTGTGTGACTCCTTACAGGGAATGGTTGGTGGCAGCTTAGTGAAACTGTGGCATATCCCAGTAGGTCTGGGGTTGTCACAGTCAGATCCTGATAAGGATCCCTGGCACCCCTCACCCCAAGGAATCCTACAGTTATAGACCCGCTGGGCAAAGAACAGACATCTACTGTATGGTTTGTCATAGCTAACATTATCCCAGTAAAGGGCTAATCCCAGAATGAAACTAGACAGTGATTGACAAGCATTTCCAAATACGTCTGGATATCTAATAATAAGTTTTTTCTTTGTTGCAATAATTCCAGGCAACTCCAAAACTTCATTATTACTACAAAGCCTTTTATTTCTATATAGCTTTTAGTTTCCAGAATATAAAATTACTTTAGAGTACTTATAACATCCAAACATCTTACAGTTGTAAGGAAAACTGTAGGCACATAACTTCAGATCCCTCCTTGCAACTTGAAAAAAGATGCAGGTGTCAGGACTTGAGTTGTAAGCAAATACTTCAGAATACAGGAGCAAAAGTGTAATAGAATACCAAAAATAATGTTTTAAGTTGCATTCTAAATACAGGCACTTACAGCCTATAAAAACAGAGAATACAACTCTAGAGTACAACGAAGTTCTTAAGAAAAAAATTATAAAAAGCAAAAAGCATTATAACTTCCAGTGAAAGACATGGTAAGGTATTTAAACTTTAAAAAGTAAAAATATATAAAGTAACATTGTTATTTAATTCTAAGCATGTTAAGACACACAAAAGAACATTTCTAAACAGAAAGCAGCTCACCCAGTCAAATCAGTTTACATCTATGGGGGAAATTCAGCCATGATGGATTGCTGACCAAATTATTACATCATAATATAAACATCCCTTATCCCACGGGACTGGTAAACAGTTGTGAAACTTGATAGTAGTCCCAGTGACTAGCTGGGAGTCCACCTTGCAACTCCTGCCAATCAGTCTACCAGCGACCCTCTATACCTGCAGCAGACTATAGGACCCAGACTGGGGCATTTCGTTTTCTTTCTTGTTCTCTGCTCATATTGCATTGTTGCTTATGCTTTGAATATTGACAAATACATGAATGACCAAAATTGTTGAGTTATTGCAATTTGTTTTTGTTTGCTTCCTTGTGTATGAGTTCCTTTAATGAGCTCAAGGCAGATACATAACTCTCTTTGACCCTACTTTATACTCAGGTAAGTTGGGCCTGGAAGACTCATGGAGTGTTTTTCACAGTTCAGTGGGTGCTAGAACCTGTATTTCAAACCACAATACCATAGTAAATTAAATTAAGGACCCAATATGCTAACTAGGATTTGTGAATTTGGTTCAGTGCAAGAAGTTTAGACATAGATGGTAAGAACTGCATAGTTTCAAAGCCTGGCCCATTTCTATGGTAGAACTTTCAGCTGCCCCACCTCCAGCTAATGGGCTATGATGAACATTTTGTTTGGTTCACATTCTTAAGCCAACTGCCTAGATCCATACTTTCTGGATTAGTTGTGGAGCAAAATAATAATCCTTTGGAATTCACACTTCTTCAGATTTTGTGGTATAGTTCTTAGTTTAAAAATGTACCACACTATATAGAAAATTGTGCTTTTTAGGATATGCTACATTTTAAAAGTGCATGTATTGTAGAAAACATGTTCAGAAATACTTAAATGCCATCTTTGAAAACATGAAACTGTCATGGATGGGATGCAGACAGATTTTTTAATCCTGTCACAAGTGGAGGATCACAGCAACGGAGGGAGAAGAAAGAAAAATGGAAAGGAGGAAATCATACATCAGCATAGATGCTGGAGATGCAGAAATGTTGAATAGTACTGTGTTTTCCAACAAAAACTCCTTAAATGTAAATTTTTTAAAAAATACACCCACATTTCCATTAGAAAGCATTATTTGCAGAGGCTTCTTTCAATTCCTGCCAATCTTTCCCAATGTCACTTTTGATATATTATTCTAACATTGTTCTTAGCTTTCTTTTAAAAAGCTGGGACTAAGTAGTAACCTCTCCTGAGTGTGAGAGGACTATACGCTGCTGAAATATTTGATGTGGAAACAAATTGCCATGAGATCATGCATCTTTTGTCAGTTCTTTTATTGCAGGCATTAATACAGGAACAGGTAAACAGTTCAGCCACAGATATTCCCTCTAAAGACATGGTTGACTTACAAATGCCATAGCATGCTGTCTTCTGATCCAGGCTGCTGCTCATTTAGTACCATGCTCATGGAAGTAGCATGGTCCTGCCAGGAATGTCCCCCAACAATGTTTCTCCCTTCTCCTATTGTTCTAGGATTCCTTTACAGCACTCAGAATTACAAAAACATGTGTTTGGGGCTGATCTTGCATGCAAAAAAACAGGTCACTCTCAGTATATTTATTGCAAACTCCTTGAGCATCAGGTAATTTTAAAAAGAAAGAAACAGCAGCATCCTATTTTAGGCTTCTGTTAACCCAAAAGGACAACATGAATTATACAAAAAGAAGGCTCCAAGAACAGCTAAATCAAACTTTTTAACTACGATATTCCAATTGTTAGCTAAACAGTCTGTAAAAGAAAAGCTGAAGGGGTAGCCTAATACCAAAATAACTAATGTCAGACTGATGTGGACCATGTTGATGAGAAATCATCTTAATGAGAACTTTGCACCAAGATTAATATGGATTTAGAACTTCACAAAAAGTTTCAAATGGAAAGTGTAGTGTTTTTTTTCAGGAGGATCGGTGTTAGGCTGTATGTCTATGGGCAACTCTATGCAATGTTTAAAATAAACTGAGAAAAAGAATGTACCAATTAAACATATTTGTAAGGATCCAGCTCATTTCTTCTTAAGATCCAATAAAATTATAACATTGGGGATATTTACACATGTACACAAACCATTTCATCCACCAAACTCTGATCTCATTGCCTGTAATAAGCTAGAATAGAAAAACTCCCCTTAGCTTCATGACTGCCCTATGAATCTTGACCCCTGCCAATACAGATTGGAGTTCAAAAATCATAGAATTAAAATGATGCAACAGTGTACCCGTTGGCTATGGCCTTATGGCTAATGTAAAATGTTAAGATGAATGGAAAATACCACTGACATCAGAAATAACAAAACTTGGCTATAACATGTTTTCAGTTTATAGAGTACAAACAGGTTCAGTGTGCTGTAATTTCCATTCTAAAAATCTATATATGTTTCAAGATCTATCCAATATGTCATATCTAAATCCAAGCAAAAATCTCTTTGCTTACCTCAAACTTAATTTTCACTGGCATTTCTCTTAGGAAGGGTACCTAATAGAAAAACCAGAGGTGGGGACAGGGGGAGGGGAGAGATGAGACAGGGAATTTATTACACTTTAGCCTTGCAAAGTGTCTTGGTATGTATGCATGCATGTATTTGGCAGAACCTACAATGTATGCCTATGATTCCCAATGAACATCTATGTTAACCAATTTTTATGTGAAAAAAAGCCACATGATGAACTATTTCAGTGTGTTTGGGAGTATTTGATTTCCTATCACATTCTGTCTGGTGAGTGTGTTATATTTAAGCTTTGATGACCACATGCACCACACATAGCCCAAATGGATGCTGCCATCTGCATGAGAAAGTACCCTTACCTTGACCAAGTCTTCATTCATACTTCTGGTCTGCTTGACTGTTTGTCCCACTTTGCAATTGGAGACTTGCTTTCATAGCACCACAGGTAAATCCTGCTTTTATCTGCATCATTTGAATACAGCCATGCACCTCCAATATGGGTCTACACTTATTGTTCCTTCCCAGAATTGACAATGTACATTTTCATGAGGATATGTCAGTGAAATGTCATGAAAACCACAACCAACCTTGTACATTGAGCTTGAGACTCCAGTGTCACATTCTGGCCTCCTGGTACGTCTTACATGTCTAACTCGCTGTGTGCCTTCTTTGTCACTATAATGGCACGACAACATGATAGAAAGAGAGTGTGGCATTGTCATAATAATCCCCTCATCTCCCTTTTGGTCCACTTCAGTATAAAAGAAGTGTGTCATATGGCACACAATGCACATCAGAATGGGGAAGTTCTGATGGCCATTGGCACATTGCCTGTTAAGCCTCTTAAAATAGTCACATGAGGGTGGCAGACATCACAGAATGTGCAGCAAATGATAAGACCAAAGTAGCATAGAGGGGAGAACTGTAAGACTGGAATGGAACAGGCATATGTAAAGTTGCAGTAGGAACTGCAAGAGAAAGGAATTGCAAGGGAAATACAGAGGTTGAGTGATTATCACAATAAGGACAATCAGGAAGTGTTGTGATAAATGACAGAATCTTTTCTCCTTCAAGGATAAGGCTTCTGACATGATATTTGTTCATACTGAGCCTGTGTTGAAAGGTCTACATGCAAAACCAACTTTCTGGAATCTCAGATTTTGCTAGCCTTTAAAGCTCTGGCAGTGAAACCCTTAGTCACTTCAGCAATTTCAGGGCATAAATAAAGGTATGCAGAGGCATAGGTGCATTTTATCAATTCCGTAACTTCAAAATGAGAAGTTCTTAAACACAAATACCACAGTGCTTTGATTGAAACAAACAGCATCTACATATTGTGGCAGTCATTCAATCTCAGTATTTCACCTAAATTAAACATAAGTTGTAATACATTCCTATAGCTGTAAATTCTAGGATATCAAACATGTGCTTTTTCTTCAACTTCTGTGGTGAAATGATCAAAAGATTGCCCCAGGAGTAACAGTATGTACACAAAAGAGAGATCAATGAGAAACCTATGTATGAAGATATTGTTGAAAGAAATGGATTTGTGGCTTAAAGAAACTCCCATTCATTAATGTTACCACCTCTGAAATCTGTGAACTTTTAAAGGATTGACTTTATGAGTTATTATTGGTTTCCAATGTCTATGGCAGGGGTGAATATATTCTCTCAACTCCTTACAAAATAGGTTCAGTAGGGAAGTAGGTGCACTTCAGATCTTACACTAATGGCCTTTTCTTGTGTAATGGGTTTCTTCTACTACTGTCAATGTGATAATAGAGCCACAGTAATTTGATTTTGTCAACAATTTAAGCCAGTCACTTGTTACTGTCATCTTATTTATCCTTATCTCTCAAGCCAACAGTAAAGTCATTCAGAACATTGCAAGCATAGGCCTAAGCAAATTTACTTTGAATTATTGAGATACTTTGAATTACTGGGATATGAAAGTATGTAATATTCTCATGTCTAAGTGTATGTAACAATTTTTATTGATAATAACAAGTGAAAGCTATGCTACGGATATTTTCAGGAAGTGACAAAACTAAGAACATCTTCATTAAAGTTAAATTTTCTTTGCAAAGTTTGTATTCTAAATTTGAAACATTCTGTAAGAGTGCTTAATTTACAAAGCTATCATCACAAAATCATCAAATATGATAGTATTTTGAAGATTTGATGTCTGAAATCTGTGACTCTTGGAGATAGATTGCCAAGCTTCAGTAGTCATTGCTGAAGCATTATTGAATATCAGTGGATAGCACTATTTCACTTTGACTGTGATATGGAGATTTCTGCGTGAAGTATGAGGACCTTTCTGTGCTATTCTTTAAAATCTCTCAATCCACCAATGCTTGCATATGTTTCCAGTTTTTACACAAGACAATTCTGAATAAAGTTTTCTAGCATGAAAGGTGAACTTAAATCCAGCTGTTTGCAGGCTCAGAGTTTCAGTTACAAGAACTCCAAGTTTTTAGATTTGCTTAATATGATCGAGTGGAGACCAACCCTAGGGGCAGAATCCTCTTGGGTTTCACTGTGCATATAAGGGCAACTGTGTAAGTGCTTTTGACTGTTTGTGCTGTCCTCTGAGCAGTTACACAACCAATTATGCAACAAGGACATGAGTCCACAACATACAATCCACATAACAGTGTACATTGCTTGTGTGATTGCTATTCTGTGATCATGCAAACCAAGAGGATCCTGGCCAGAGTCAGTGAATTGTTTGGTAGATGTGGATGTTTTAAAAATCAGAAATGAAATAAAAATGGCAGGGGTTTACCTCTGTGAAATTGTAAATGGTTTTCCTCACTCCTTCCTTCTATAATAATGGAAACTAGGAATGTAAATTTTATTTTATTTTTCAAGGGACACTTAATCCTAGGGTATGATATTCTTCTTCCACTTAAGATAATTTATTAACCAATGGAAGTGATATATATATAAACAAACAGAACAGCAGTAGCTTGGTGCAATTATCAGATATACAAATATGCTATCAAAATATACTGCACAACATTTATCTGTGCAGTTATTAACATATATACAGAATGTTTTTTTCTGAATAGAAATCAGTATATGTTCCTTACTGTTTCTTTTTGTCTTCAATTTACCAAAAATTAGCCTCAATTCCAGTTCTGTACTTACATAAAATCCTAAATCCTCTGGAGAAATACAGGAGAGAAGGAATCATAGACTGGGCCCACAGAGCTGCTTAGATTCATATTGAGTCTCATCCAGTGGACTTTTAAAACTCCACCCCCTCTCTTTGTACAGCAGGTTCACAATCTGCTGTTCACACCACTTCCAGCTTTAAAAACTGTACCATGGAGATGCAGGGGCCTGTTGTCTCAGGAAACACACTCATCTAGTCTCCCAGGACTCAAACAGCTAACTGCATTATTCTGTGGACCCTGACCATAGTATCAAATATATAAAGCAAGTCCTCAAAATTTATGCATTTTTTTAGCCAACTGTGTTTAATTGAAAAGGTTTGGATGCATCACACTTTTATGATGCATCACATACACAGAAGCAGAGGAATGTAAACAAGGTGGAAGGCACGGAAAAGGTCCTGATCCATTTTCCACATGAAACAAAGCTGTTTCACAATTCTGTCATCAGCAATCTCTTCATCATCTTTTCTCTCTCAAGTTCATGCCTCAAAGGCTCAACACTGTGGAATTAATGAAGATACAAGCAATTATAGGAACAATATTTCACATGTTTTGGTTAAGACAAGTAACACCAGTCATACCAATGAAAGAAAAGTATTGCTTTTTATGAAAAAGCTAAATAAATAAATAAATAAATAAAAGGTTGGAAACAGCTCACAGCATGAATAGCAAATGTGATTAACATTTTGAGGTTTGTAACAAATGTAAACCCAACCAAGTCTTCTTCAGATATTATCTTCCCCATTATATCAACTGAGCTTGAAAAGCCAATACCCTAAAATGAGAGTTTAGGAAACACCAGCAAAGAAATATCAAGAGGCAAGAAGTGTAGCTGGAAGCTGAAGTAAGAATGTTTTTAATGTTTCGCTTGCATTTCAAACTTATAATTGGTAGTATCTTTGTTTTTTTTCCACTTCCATTTCACTGTGTGCTAATATGTATTTTGTTCTTATGCATTCTCATAATAAAATTGAAAATGTAATACTTCTAGAACCTTTGGGAAATATTTTTAAATCGAAAGACTGGCCATAAATATTTCAAATAAAGCAGTTGGCATACAGTACAATCCTAACTGGCCAAGGGCCAGTTGAGCTGATACTAGGCCAGCTGAAGAGGTGTTGAATGCAAATACCTCCTGGCCTAGGAGTGTTGTTAATTCCTGTGTGCCAGCACTGTGGCTGCATCTCTGGGCTGGAGGAAGTATGAATATGGAATAACTCAGCTCCTCTTTCACTCTGCCCCATTTTCAGTCCTTCTGCTGGGAGTTGCCTGTGCCTAATTTTGTGCTCCCCCACCCCCCTAGCCAGCACTGTCTGTACAAATTTTGTCTTATGGTCCTCTCCAATGTCCAGGGGCATTAAAATTCAAGACATCTGCCATTTGTTTGGTTCTAATTTTAAAAGGGAGCCTCAGCCTGCCTTGCTGCATGTGGGGGCTCCTCACCTAGGGCTGCACTTTAACTCTGCATCTCTACCTCAAGAAGGAAAGCGTTGTGTCAGCAATGCAGTCAAGCTAAATCTCCTGGGGAAGCAGGACAATAGTTTTATGCAGTTTGGCTTCAGTTCCACAAAAATTCCAGAGAGCTACATTTCAGAGGTGGGCCTGGCAAAGGTGAAAACATGCGGCCAATTTTATTATGCTATAAACGTCCATGAACTAAACCTCATTTCACCACTCATGAAAATGTTCACTGAACTATCTTACACCTCCATTCAGTTTTCTCACCCAAGTACTCACATTCGGGGGGAAAAAAGAAGAAGACGTCCTATATAGGCCTATTACTTTAGCATTTTGGAAAAACTAGGCCAGGACTGTAGAACTTGCAGCTCTCCAGTAGTCAATGAGTAACTGTTTCTGTAATCCTTATCCATAGCCTGAACAGGTAGGACCAATATGAACTGGAGCCCAACAATACATGGAAAGGCACACGTTCGCCAATCATGACCTAGGAAAGGCCTTCACTTTTTTCTTCGCACACCCAAAGTCCTTGCTTCCTTGCATTGCTATTGCCAAGTATGAAATAAACCCATCTCGCTGCTGGAAGACTGTGGAAAACAAGGCAGCTAATATTTATGTGGAAGGCTCACACGGTACCTGTCTGTCAAAGAAATAGGTTTGTGAGACGAATGGATGGTCTGCACGGTGGGAGTTGGCATGTTTTCCACCAGAGACCTTGGAATAACTGGCGATAATGTCTTTGGAGATGGCAGTACAACACAGCACTGTAGCTTATTGTCTCTGAAGTCTGCCTATAAATAAAAATAAGAGAGACAATAGATGTTGCTGTATCTTTTTCACAAAATAGATTCATCTACATATTCCACATCAGCAATGTTCTTTTAAACACAAGGATGAGCTACAAATCAAACCTACAGCAGATCTAGAAAGGGAGTGCCATAATGATGTTGGTAAGGAAAATTTCACATTTAGGTGAACATTCCTTAGACGCATGTACGTGCTGAAAATAAAATTGCATGTTAATGTCGTAAGATGAATATCCAGAGAATGGTAATTACAAGGTCTTCATTTTTGCAAGAGACCACCTTTTAAGAAAAAAGATCCCCGTCACGATTATATCACAACCTAAATATTGGTTTTCCCACGCTGACTGCTATTTGTCAGTAGGCTGCAATGAACTGTAAGAGACAGATGATACTATACCATCCTGTAGAATGTGGTAATATAGAAGAAATAATCAGATTCTAATTAAACAGTTGCAACTTATGTTTGGACATTGGGAAATTTGGAGGCCAGCACTGGGATTGTGATTCAGCATGTAGCATGACAAGAAGAGTTTCATGCTTTTCTTTCTACTATGCATATAAGTGGGAGGTACATACCAGAGATTATATTACTCAACAAATAGACTGCCCTCTCATTTGAAGTTGAGCAATATCAACATTTGAGATACATGTAGAGGAATACAAAGAAGAGCAGAGGGAATACCATGTTCTTTAAAAAAAGAGTTGCTGCCACATGAATTGTTCGAGAGTGTGAAGAGCTGTTGCTTTGATGTGATACGGCTGTGGTGTTCCATTTATGAGAATAACTAATGTATGCTGGGTTCGTTCTTTGAGCTGTAGCTGTCCATAGAGGCACAGGTTCTCACAAATGGCATATACTGTATAATGATATATGCATACTGTTAAAGGGTGTTTAAAATAATCCTTAATTGAAATGAGAGGTGCAGAATGTACCTCCTTAGTTTGCAAATATCCCCCCCCACCTCTTTGGAAATGGATCAGAACCTATTCATAAGATGAGAGGTGTTGAAGAAAGATGCGGTTTTGCAGTGGATACAGTGCTGAATACCTTCTTAGTTTGCAATTATTCCCCCCCACCACCTGTTTGGAAATGGATCAGAACCTATTCATAAGATGAGAGGTGTTGAAGAAAGATGCGGTTTTGCAGTGGATACAGTGCTGAACTGTGTCTTGGAAGGTTTATATTCAAGGCTGCACTAAGTCATGACATGAAAGTGGGTAATACTAAACCCAGCCTGGCCTCCTTGACGGGGTGTTCTGAGAATGGTGTGGAGAAGCAGAAGGCCATCTACAGAACTCATTTGAAGGAAAGATAAGGACATAATGAACAATGAATCAGTAAAGAAGGAAGTGCTGCTTCCTCATGGACAATGCAGTCAGGCCAACACATTCTTTCCCCAGTCCACTCAACATGTCTTGGATTTTCAAAGGCTTTCATGGCCGGGATCTGATGGTTGTTCTGGGTTTTCGGGCTCTGTGGAGGTAATTCTAATATTGGGATGTTAGGCAGGCAGGGGGACAATGTAAAGAAAGACCTCTCAAAGAGAAATTGGGTGAACTCCTGTTGTGCAATTTGCCCCATGCGATTAGGATGATGCCTTCAGCTATGGCTGTGCCATGGTTGCTTAGGGGCAACTGAAAACTTCCCAGAGCCATCTCCAACAGGTTTCAGAGATCCTTTAGGGTTTCCCTTCATCCTAGGGCAAGCTTTGGGAGCCGCAGAAGGAACAGAGGAATGGTTAAAACCTGAAAAATCACAGGTGCCAGTCTCTCCGTTGGGACCGATGGCAGCCATTTTCAGGCTTTAAATAATTCTGCCTTCCATTCTACAGCTCTCAAAGGCTGCCTGAGGATGAAGGGGATCGCTAAGTATCTCCAAAGCCCAAGGGGCTCTGGGAAGTTTTTAGATGTCTCCAAACGGCTATGGCATGGCCGCAGCTGATGACGTCAACCTAACTGTGTGGCATAAGTGACACCATGGGTTCAAATACAAATAGTGAGGCAAGCTGATCTGGAAGGAGGCAATCTTCAGGCTCATTCGAAATGGAGCAATGGGATGCACATCTCACTGAAGGTGGTGATGCAGTACAGATGCACTATCTATTCAGCCAAAGGCATTGGTATTCAAGTCAATTTTCACTTGCTGCAACCTTTTTCAGAATTTTCTAGGTATCAAATACTCAAAAATAGTTTACCATTGCCTTCCTCTGGGACTGCTTTGCAACTCTTGAGTGCACACAGGCACAGTAGGGCATCGGACTCCTAACCCCTGACGCCAGTATCCAACTCACTGAGCTATCCAGGCGGCCTAATATGAATTTATATTACTTAACACAGGAATGAATGCCTGTCTGTCACTGCTGTGGAGAATGGTGTTTGGGAGCTCAGAGACAAGTCCTCCGTCCTTTCTCCCAAAAGGTCTGGGTCCCATGGTAGGCAACCTGCACTGAGAATATGACAGGAAGAGCCTGTCCCTTGTAGGTTCTGCTGGACTTCTCACAGGCATTCCACACCACTGGTCAAAGTATACTTCCAGACTGTTTGGCTTATATGTGGTTGTTTTTTTGGTGTTTCTAGTGCTATTTGATTGAATATTCCCAGAAGATGGTGCTAGAGTACTGTTGTTCAACTTCATGATCACCAGCTTATAAGGCTCCTGGGGATAAATACAAGCCTTTTTTTTTTTTAAAGATGAATACAGCCCAGACAAGCCAGAAGTTCTGCTGATGGGCAGATAAACATAACATGGGATTGAGATTACAGATTGTTGTGGATGGGACTGCACTCTCACTGATGGGCCAAGTTTGCAGGATGGGGTTGATTTTGGATCCATAGTCCAGATGACTGCTGAAGCCAAGAATGCCTTTGCTCAGCTTTGGCTCATTTCCTTGGGAAAGTCAATTTGACCATAAAGACCCATATTTTATTCACCTCAGAATTAGACTGCTATAATGCACTTTATATGAGGCTGTCATTGAAAAGCATTTAGAAGTTACAGGTAGAGAAATGCAGCAGATCATTGTTTAAAGACTAATCCAGTAACCGTATATCACTGGTGTTTTGCAATTATACTGTTCTTTGAGAGAGCATAAAAACAGGCAACTACACACCTATGCCAGTATATTCTGTGTCCCTCAACATGTACTCTGGAAGGTTTCGTGTGAGTGGCCTCAAATGCTCTTGATGTTTTGCATCACTGGATGAAAATTGTCTGAAATGTTTTTTAATTGTACCATAGTACTTCTGCCATAAACAAAGGTTATTAGTCCTGATCTAAATGCATTGCTTTCCAGTTTACTGTATTTCTGAATTCAATTCAATGTATAGATCCTCAGCTATAAAATCCTAAATGGTACGGAGCCACGGTATCTGAAAAACTTCTCCTTCCTTAAGACAATGCCCAGAATTTGAAATCTTCAAGAGAGGCTCTGTTTTGTGTCCCACCACACAAAGACAAGAGGTTAAGTATCTAAAACAGTTTTTTTTAAAAAAAAATAGCAGTACCAAGATTGCAGGGTGCGTCCCACCACCCAAAGACAAGAGGTTATTAAGTATCTAAAACAGTTTTTTTTTAAAAAAAAAATAGCAGTACCAAGATTGCAGGTTTTAGTTCTTTAAAAAATATTTTGTTTCTTTTTTTATTATGATTTCACTGCACATTGCTTTGGGTGTTCTGGTAGAAAAACTATTGGAGATACAGTCCAGGACAAAACTGCAGGGGATGGAAAGGCTAAAGCTTCTCTATTCCCCATGAGAGTGCTCAGATCATTATGACCGATTATTTTTGACAGGAAATTCTTGAAGAGCAAGAATTATGTTATGTTATGTGAATAATACATAACCTAAACTAACCTAACCTAACCTAACCTAACCTAACCTAACATAACATAACATAACATAACAAGTTTGGTCACACCCTTCAGGTTCCAAATCAGTTTTCATTACTATTTGCTAGGCAAAAAATGAGAGATTTTGATAAATAAAAGCAGAAGCCTCATAGCACTTTTAAGACTAACCACTGCTGTTTTTATTTTTAATATTCTTTCATGTGTCCATTTCCTCATCACATGGAAGTTTATGGAAAATAGACAGTCTTAAAGGTGCTATAAGATTTTGGGTTTCTCTTGTGCTGCAACAGACTAACATGATAAGGTACAACGGACAAAACATATGGGTGTAATGGAGTTTCAGAGTCTGACATAACTGGAGGAATACCTTGGATTGTGGATGATCAATGGACACTGGAAATAAACTGGATTTGCATGTGGTGCATTAAATGCGATTTTCAGTCACATTTTCTACTTACAGAAAACTGTGGTAGTGTTGGAAAAGGATCGAAAAAAGGATTAGATGTAGCAGCAGGGAATGTCTTTATCTTTAAGAAAGATAAAGAAAACGATGTTACTTTCAGAACACACAAGGGGAAAAAAATGAAGCAAAGCATTGTGAACTGCAGCATTCCATCCAACACATTAGAATGATTTAACAACACTGGATATAACAGAGTACCCCAACACACATATTGAAATGGATGATGAGGCTTTAAAGGTTAACATATAGAATTATTGCACTCTTTTATTCATGCACTATATTGGAGGATCATCCCCTGAAGCAGATACCAAGCTGTACTGGACACAGTGGTTACTGACCAGACACAACTGCAGACTGTTATTACCACTGTTCTCCAGCTTGTTCTAATCAAAATCTACTCAAGATCAACCATTCTTTTACAAGAGTATGAAAAGAATGTCCGCTGAACTGGTAATACTACCAATCTGCATTTTTCTTTTTTCTTTTTCCACAAGGAAGCAATGTATAGGAGGCATAGTCAGAAGAAAGACATTCAAGCACTATAGGGGCAACTGCTTGCAAGGTTACCAAGAGGCAGGCTGCGGATTTAAAGTGTCCCCAACGAGAAGCAAATAGTTATTTCATTTTTTAATTGTATTTTTACTGCCAGGAAGGTGGATAGATGGCTATGGGCCTTCCTGCCTTAAATGTCAAAGTAATTCCATCAACCTGCACTATGCCTCTTGAGCAGGACAGGAGGAAATTATTTGGCACTCCTCTTCCAATAACAAAGTGTCCTGCCTCAGCTTTGTCTACAGCCCTCTGATGGTAGCATCATGAAGTCCTGTACAGTGGACCCTCGACTTACAGACGGCTCGACTTACAGACTTTTCATGTTACAGACTTCTCTGGCCGCAAAATTTAGGTTCGACTTGCAGCCGGAGAATCGACGTACAGACTGGAAAAAAAACAACAACCCAAAATGGAACAAAAACGGCCGGTTACGGATTAATCGGTTTTCAATGCATTGTAGGTCAATGGAGCCTCAACCTAGAGACTTTTTGACCTGCAGCCACTGTTCCAATATGGATTAATTCCATAAGTTGAGGGTCTGCTATATCTGTTGCTATTACATCTGTTGTTATCTAAAACAAACAGAAAAAGCTTGGGTGCTCCCAGCCATCTAGAGTGGAGTGGTACCAATCAAAGGGGATTGTGGAGCTATTTCACACTTCCTTCTTAAAGAGAGAGGGTCTCTCTCTCTCTCCCTTGCTCTCTCCCTCTGTGTGTGTGTGTTTGTGTGTGTGTGTGTGTGTGTATGTGTGTGTGTGTGTGTGAGAGAGAGAGTGCACATGCTAAGGATAAAAAAAAGACATGGGAGAATTACAAATGGAAGACAACATTATCTAGACATGGAAGACAATATTATTTGGAGTCCTAATAAAATTCCACAATAAAAGCCTCATCTGGCAGCAACTGTTGTATTGACATTATGAGCCACCAAGTTATCAAATGTGTTTGGGGTTTCCTCAAAGAATCAATCAATCATGAACACACTGAATGAAATCATAAGTAAGCAGCTCTTCAAGTTACTGCGTGCAACAGTGGAGCATCCAAAATATTGAAAAGAAATGAAGGAACAAGTATATGCAGGTGATTAACAATATAAAAAACAACAGCATTGGTTTGTCTGAAAGTCATACAGTATTACACTACAGCCTAGGGATTCTGAAAGAGGACACATATCTCATGTGGCTGACCTAACCGTCGTTCAGTGCTGTGTTAAAACTAATAAAATCATGCCCATGCTTCAGGAAGGAAGTGAAAGACTATTCAAGATCTTGTTAACTGGAGATGCCCAAGACTAAACTGGAACATTTTGCATTGTATTGAGTGAGGCATTTACCTCATGTGGCAGATGAAGCGAGAATGCCAATTGCCAAGCTCCTATCCTTTTCTTTCTGATACATAATGACTCACATCATCCAAGTAAAATTTCATTTTTCTTCTTGCTATTGAAGGCTGTTTAGAGATTATATGGAGGCCCTTCCACACCATAAGAAATTAAATTGTTTTTTAAAAAACCCTCCAGTTTATGAATTTGGGATACTGGGCTTCTGAACCCATGATTCAAAAAGCAAGGAAATTGCCCAATATTGCTGAATAATAGTGTGCCCACATTGACAGCAAGAAAAAGGATGCCAGCTTTACATAGCAAATGGCAGCCTGAATGTTGACAACACCAATGGCAGCACTCAAGATCATCTACAGGATACCCTCTTCTGCTCATTACCATTCACACTTGTTGAAAAACAGCCATGACAATTGCTTTGTGTTAGAAGTGGTGAACTTAGGAAGAAAGGAGTCAACTTCTCGGATTTTCCCTTGCATGTTGTCACCTTGTGAATGGTAGTGGTGCTGTGGAACTCCTGTTCAACAGCCTTAACCATTGACCCGTGGAGTGTTTCAGGGTTCCGATTCCCCATCATATTTCACATATACAGTGGTACCTCGCTAGACGACGACCTTGCTGTACAACGAATCCACATAACAGTGACTTTTTGCAATTGCTATAGCGATTCGCAAAACAGTCATTCCTATGGGGGAATTCCGCTTGATGATGATTTGGTCTGTGCTTCGTGGACCGTTTATTCACAAGATGACGATCTTTACAGCTGATCGTCAGCTTCCTAAAATGACTGCCCTGTGTTTTCTGGACCCATGCTTTGCAGGACAGCCATTTTAACAGTTGATCGGCGCTCTCAAACTGGCTTCCCTATGGGTGATCTTCGCTGGACGATGAGGTATTTTCCCCATTGGAATGCATTAAACGGGTTTCAATGCATTCCAATGGGGAAACGGATTTCGCATAACGATTTTGCTTAAGAGCAATTTTCCCAGAATGGATTATACTTAAGAGCAATTTTCCCAGAATTGATTATTGTCGTCATGCAGGGCACCACTGTACATGAAAAACCTGAAAGAGGCTGTCCAAAATTTTGTGGTCTTGTACCACCAGTGTGTTGATGACACCCAACTCCATCTGCTTTTTAAGATGAGAGGCCCTTCTCTCAGTCTCTCAGTCCCCACTATGTGATCAAACACACACACACACATTTTCATCCCAGAATATACAAGGGATGAAATATGTCATTTAAATGTAATTTTGCCTTCAGGCCTCATTTAATCCAGACATACACTTTTTTTAGAAATTGGAAGAGACCAGCCTGTCACATCTGATTTCTGACTAATCACAGTGCATGTGTTGCATGTAATTGCAAACGGTTCTCCCAAGGTTTCCAGGAGAGGTGCATAAATTCTCAGTACAGAAGGACCGAACAGGAATGAGAATGGGGAAAAGGTCCTGCCCGCTGCACAGAATATCAATGATACATGAAATATCTTTAATATATACTATAAGCCAGGTCCCTAAATAGACATTAGTGTTGCAATATCTTTAATATATACTATAAGCCAGGTCCCTAAATAGACATTAGTGTTGCGCCTTTGCTATGGACAGAAATGCTTGGGTGCTGCCACCACTGCCACCAGACATACCAAAATAATCCACGATCAACAACTGCCTGATACAGATAAAGGAACATCCTCTTTCTGCCAGGCAGCTTCCAAAATGCTCCTGCACCAGACCTGCGGGACACTACTGCGCAACTCTCCAACACTTTGTTGTCCTGGATTTACACCCAATCACCCAGCACAACACTTTTCTAGAAGAATCCAAAACAGAACACAGCATCACATTCTGTCTCTCTTTCCCCAGGGAGCAGGACTTTACTCTTACACACAACATCCCACTGTTTCACTGCCGGAAAGAAAAGGTATATTGAACTCTGACCTCTCCCCGCCAGCCCTATAGACAAACCTATGGAAGCAAAACCCAATAACTGCAATTTATATCTTGTGATCTGTCCTCTATAAGGGCAGCTGTTACTTCTTTACAGAAACTGGCAAGCCAGGCAGAGCAAAAAAAGAGTGGTGTGAAACAGTGCATTCCTACATGGTTACTAAAAGTAATTAAACCAGGAAAAGAGGAAGAGGACTCATTAGAATTCCCCATTGGGGGCTCACTAAACAAAGAGGAAATGACGGAAATGCTTAGGACAGAATGGTCATTATTCAGATAAATACTAGCCAACCAGAAAACCAAGCTGATCTGAATCTGGAAGAAAACACCGGCAGCAGTAGTGCAAAATAAACTTGCCTAAGGAGATACTCGTAGCTTCTCAGTAGTTGTCATCTCTTTCCATTTCTTATGGTAGCAGCAGTAGTGCAAAATAAACTTGCTTAGTTAACATAAGGAGATACTCATAGCTTCTCAATAGTTGTCATCTCTTTCCATTTCTTATGGTCAAGATGACTAATAGTTATCATTATCCATAAAGAAGGTGCATTACTTATCAAGGTGCCAACATTGTTTCTTCATATATTTGTTTGTTTGACTGTTTCTTCCATTTTCCTTCAAATTCCAGGACCCATCCTGATTTAAAATTGCCAGATGCAGAGAACAAACTCCAGTTCACAAGAGAGCTCTGCGTTCTTGCAACTAAAAAGTAAAGGGCCTCTCGGGTCATTGCTGCTTCAGATTTTGGGGCTAGAACAAACAGAAACTTTTACCCCTGTGAAACTTCAGAATTGTACAAGGAAATGTCCAGTGAGAGGCAAGCTTCATAGCTGCTCTCTGATGGCTTCGGAAACTCTTCTCCTGCAGAATGTGTGCGGGAACAGATCCTGAAACACATAGACCCCAAATCTCCTGTATTTTAGATTTTGGAAGTTGTTTAAGGTCCTGGTGACATAGATACCATGCAAAGCAGATGGCAATGTCTCTGGGCTTGTCACCCACCTGAAGCTAAGGACCAGGTGTTCAGTGGGCAAACCAATTTGGAGATCAGGATGGATCTTTAAAGAAGATGATCAAAAAAGTTGTCATATCACCTCCTTGTCCTCCCACTTTCCAAATCCATGAATATGCAAAGACATTTGTTTCTGTTTTCCCTGGTGTTCTACCTTGAACTTCAGATCTAATGCAAACACAGTGCCTTCATTTTGTAGTTCCAAATAAGGGTA